CCCTTGGTCTGGATGAGGAATGGGAGGATATGAAGACAAGCAGAGCATGAATAGTGGGGACAGACTCCTGGTGTATATTTAAGACTGGGATAGTTAGATCTTTGATCAATGGAGGAATCAAGGGAAAAGGCAGGAAAGTGGACGTGAGAAATATTAAATCAGCCATGATTCTGTCAAACAACTTCAGCGGTCGAACGACCTACTCCTGTTACTATTTCTTATGGTCTAACAGTTGGTCATGGATCACAAGATGGTACCTTTTCCTCCCCTAGGCTCTTCCACTACTGCAGTTTCAGGACTTGCGTGCTCCTCCTCCTCTGGAGGACCTCCTCCAGCCGGATCTTTTCTTTCAGGTTTGAGAATATATGCACCTTCTCCTCTGTCCCCAAGTCATCATGCAATGTCCCATTGTAGGGGATCCAGTGTACACTACTTCTTTATGAGAAATGAGTGGAAAAACCACATGTAGTGTTACATGAAAGTTGCATTTTACCAGTAATCGAGTGCACAACCTGCAGATTTCTGCTTTAGGATCTCCAGTTAAATTCAAACTATTAAAATTATGGGCTAATTGCGGACTTTTCAAACATTTCATGCCGGTTTCTACCCATTTGTATTCACTATATTTTTAATATTTGAGATATCACAAACATAAAATCCAAATAGTATCATTAATTAAAAATGGAATCACAAAACAGAGAGATGCAGAGAAAATAATTAGAAGTAGCCAAGGGGGGTTTCAGAAACCTCTGATACAGAGCTCTTTGAGGACATGATATATAACGGTTGGGGATAAATCACACTTGATGTGGTATACATGAAACTCATAAAAGTTTTTGGAAAAGTGATAAACATCCGTAGGAGAGGAGCAAGAGGTACTGTTAAGGCCACAGTGGGAGGAGTGCACTGTCTTTCACTTGTCCTATTACTCCATCAAAAAATTGCTTTACCTGTTTCCAGGTATGGCCTAACATATCCTTTATAGTAGACTTAAAAAGATCAGAGTCATACAGCATAGAAACAGACTCTTCGGTTCAATTCATCCCTGCCAACTAGACATCCCAATCTGACCAAGCCCCATTTGCCAGAATTTGGCCCATATTCCTCCAAACTATTCCAATTCATAAACTGATCCAGATGCCCTTTAAATGTTGGAATTATAGTCACCTCTACCACTTCCTCTGGCAGTTCATTCTATACATGCACCATTCCCTGCATGAAAATGTTATCCCTCCAGTCCTTTTCAAATCTTTCCTCTCTCACCTTAAACCCATGCTCTCTAGTTTTGGACTCCCCCACACTAGGAAAAAGACTGGCTATTCACCCTATCCATACCCCTCATGATTTTATAAACCTCTATAAGGTCACCTGACAATCTAGGGAAAAATACCCCACCCTCTTCAGCCTCTCCGTATGACTTGAACCCTCCAGTCCCAGTAACCTCCTTGTAAATCATTTCTGCATCCTCTCAAGTTTAATATCGTCCTTTCTATAGAAGGGCAACCAGAATTGTACACACAGAATTCTAAAAGAGATATGTAGATGAGGAAATAAATATTTGAGGAAGAAAACACATAACATACTGCTGCCACTGAGTATTGGTGGTAGATGTTTGAATGTTTGTGGCTGTGGTGCCAATCAAGCAGTTTGTTTTGTCCTAGATGGTGTCAGGTTTTGAGTGTTGCTGGAGCTGCACTCATCCAGGCAAATGGGAAGTATTCCAGCACAGTCCTGCCTTGTATCCTTGTAGGTGATGGACAGACTTTGTGGAATCAGGAGGTGAGTTACTTTCTGCAATTTTCCTAGCCTCAGATCTACTCTTGTAGCCACAGTATTCACATAGCTCGTCCAGTTCAGTGATAGCCCAGAACATTGATAACGGGGGAATTCAGCAATGGTAATGCCACTGAATGCCAAGGGGTGATGGTTAGATCTTCCCTTGTTGGCTATTGCTTGGCCCTTGTGTCACACATCTTACTTACAAATTGTCAGCCTAAAGCTGGATATTATCCAACAAACACTGCATTGATGATTCATTTATATATGGATTACTTCAGTATTCAGGATTCGCGAATGTTGCTGACCATGCCACCCTGAAACTATTATGTCAAATGTTTGGTGACGAGATTAAGTTGCGCAACATGGTAAACAGTGTGGATGGGAACAGAAAATTTTATAGAAATTAAATGAAGTTTGATGTGGACAAGTACGAATCATCCATTTTGGACCTTAGAAAGATAGATCTGTGTGTCAATCAGCTTTCTTTATAATAAATCAATAATGTGTGTTCTAAAGAAAATATATTCAATGATAATATAAAACTAGTTCATGCACTTAGGTTGCAATATAAAAAAAATTCTAAATAAATCAACATGTACAGACTCAAAAACACTGGGGAAAAAGAAGAATGTATTTATCTCTGTAGAGATTCACTTTGGGATTTATGATTATTTGGAAAAGCACAGTTTGATTAGAAATAGTCAGCATGGCTTTGAGAGGGGCAGGTCATGCCTCACAAGCCTTATTGAATTCTTTGAGGATGTGACAAAACACATGGATGAAGGTAGAGCAGTGGACGTGGTGTATATGGATTTTAGCAAGGCATTTGATAAGGTTCCACATGGTAGGGTCATTCAGAAAGTAAGGAGGCATGGAATTCAGGGAAATTTGGCTGTCTGGATACAAAACTGGCTGTCCAATAGAAGACAGAGGGTGGTAGTAGATGGAAAGTATTCAGCCTGGAGCTCAGTGACCAGTGGTGTGCCGCAGGGATCTGTTCTGGGACCTCTGCTCTTTGTGATCTTTATAAATGACTTGGATGAGGAAGTGGAAGGGTGGGTTAGCAAGTTTGCCGATGACACGAAGGTTGGTGGAGTTGTGGACAGCGTGGAGGGCTGTTGTAGGTTGCAATGGGACGTTGACAGGATGCAGAGCTGGGCAAAGAAGTGGCAGATGGAATTTAACCCAGAAAAGTGTGAAGTGATTCATTTTGGAACGTCGAATTTGAATAGATCCCTCAAAGTTGTGACCCAAGTTGATAGGGTTGTAAAGAAGGCATATAGTGTGTTGGCTTTCATTGGCAGGGGAATTAAGTTTAAGAGCCATGAGGTTATGCTGCAGCTCTATAAAACTCTGGTTAGACCACACTTGGAATATTGTGTTCAGTTCTGGTCACCTCATTACAGGAAAGATGTGGAAGCTTTAGACAGGAGTGCAGAGGAGATTTACCAGGATGCTGCCTGTACTGGAGGGCAGGTCTTATGATGAAAGATTGAGGGAGCTAGGGCTTTTTTCATTGGAGTGAAGAAGAGTGAGAGGCGACTTGATAGAGGTTTACAAGATGATGAGAGGCATAGAGTGGATAGTCAGAGACTTTTTCCCAGGGTGGAAATGACTATTACGAGGGGGCATAATTTTAAGGTTATTGGAGGAAGGTATAGGGGAAATGTCAGAGGTAGGTTCTTCACACAGAGAGTGGTGGGCATGTGGAATGCGCTGCCAGCAGTGGTAGTGGAGTCAGATACTTTAGAGACTTTTAAGCAACTCATGGATAGGCACATGAAGGATAGTAAAATGTAGGGTATGCAAGGTAGATTTATCTTAGTAGGATAATAGGTCGGCACAACATCGTGGGCCGAAGGGCCTGTACTGTGCTGTAATGTTCTATGTTCTAAAAAACACTTTTGGCCAATGGGTCTTAGTTTTTGAAGGCAAATAAGGATCAGGTATGGAATGTTCAGACAGCTGTTCATCTGATGTTCTACCACTCAAAGAAGGATATTGCCGAGCAGAAGAATATGTCTCTAGGATATTTGCCAATGTACATTTCTCAGGAAACAATATCAAGCATGCTGTAAAGGAGGTCAGTCAGGAATTAGATTGGACAAGGGCCACGCAAACCACATTGGACCAATCACAGAAATTTTTTCAGAAACAGGAGTGTGATCTGGGAGTCAACAGAGTGTGGAGCTGGAAGAACACAGCAGGTCAGGCAGCATCAGAGGAGGAGGAACGTCAAAGTTTCGGGTTAGGATCCTTCTTCAAAAGTAGACACTCTGTTGACTCTGACTCCAGCATCTGCAGTTCTTGCATCTGCACTCTTTTCCTTCCTGAGCTGGCCACCAACTAAAAAAATGCCATCTCTAAAGCAGAAGCTGCAATCTAATAATGGTAAACCCATGTAGAGGGGTTTCAGGAAACAAGCAACTATCACAAGACATATGACTTTCAAGAAATGCATTGTTTAAATATGTTCAATTGTCCTTTCAGTGGCCTCTTAAGAAAAATCCAAGAATCCTCAAATCCTTCAAACTCAAGTCCACGAAAATGATTAAGTATGAGTCTTCTCCAAAACAGTATGGAATTAAGAGTAGCAATTTGAATTTTATTTCAAATTAAGATTTAAAGTGCCCTCATTTTAGCGGAGCAAACACAATAAAGAAATCAAAGAAGCAAAACATATAACCATAACAAAATCCTTCCATGCAGGAATTCCAAAATGATGGGCAGAGTATGTATCAAGTAGAAATCTTCTAAAGATTGATTTATTGAACCAGAGTGCTGATCATCAGACAAACTCTTCTGTAGCTGACAGTGAAATAGACTGAAACAAATATTTATGATAGTTATAACCTGCCTGTCATAAATGGCTGAAAGAAGTTAGAACTCAAATGATGCAGAGCAGAATGTTACTTGGTTCTCACTCCGAAGGATAAAACAGTTATCCATTTAGTATAAACACCAATGATCAATATGTTCAAGACATTGGACGAAAGGTATGCAAGTTGTGGTATCATGAGATAATGGTTTGAATTTATTTAATATTGATCCTCAACTTAAAGAAGAGTTTAAATGCCTTGTGGGCATTTCAAGTAGCCTGCACTTTGGCTTTGAGTGTAGACAGCTGTCACAAAAATATTCCATACATTAGGAGGCAAGAAACAAGCTGTAACCACTGCTGACAACAAGGTGCAGAGCTGGATGAACGCAGCAGGCTAAGCAGCATCATAGGAGCAGAAAGGCTGACGTTTCGGGCCTAGACCCTTCATCAGAAAATGTAACCACTGCTGGTTTTTTTTCCTGATACTGGTGTTGGAGTCATCAGGACGATGTCAAGGTAAATTGAGTGGACAAAACTGTCAGTTTGTCAGCACCATGAACATGATTCTTAGGACATGGCTGAAATGTGAACTAAAAAAAAGTCAGTGATCTACAAGTCTAGCCTTCAAACTCATCCCTCAATTCAGCTCACCTCCTCAGCCTTACAACATTACTTGTAGCCCAATACTCTCAAACTTTCATCCCCATTATCAGCAATCTGTTCTCAATTACACCACCTCTTACTACAGCACATTCTGCTCATCTTTTACTTTCTTCACCTCTGCTATCATGCACACCAACAACCTTTTTACTTTGACGTGCACTTGCTTAATATATCTCAGACTCCGACACTAATGCAGTTCCTTGATTACAGTAAAAACTAATGAAGAGGGAGCAGGCCACTGAAGGAAGGGCATCACTCATCCCTGTGATATCTCACTGGAAGAACAAGTAATGGATATCAGAGGCAAAGTTTGACAAGTAACAATGCTAGGAAACCATTCCTGCAGAATTTTACACCATAGTCCCTTTGTATTCCTTTCTCAGTTAAATTTCACCTCACACACCATTCATGATCTATTTACTATTGTTTACAGAAGCTAAACTAAAACTTTGATTTGAAAAGCAAAATACTTTAGGTGCTGGAATTCTGAATATAAAATTAACAATGCTAGAAATACTCAGTAGGTCAAGTATCATTTATGGAGAGATAAAGAGTTAATGCTTCAGGTTGATGTTCTTTAGAGTATGTGACCTGAAACATTAACACATCTCTCCTGTTGCTGTCTGACCCAAAGAATTCCCAGCATTTTGTTTTCATTTCAGATTTCCAGCATCTGATATAAAATATTTCAATTGTTTTGCTTTCAGAACTGTTTTTATTTGTCTCTGCCACTAAAGCTAGCCTTGTATCTTTCTTTCATTTCATATATAGAATGTTCACGTATCCCTCAAGGAGTAGGGGATGTTAGGAAGAATTGGAATACGGAACTGTTGGAACATATTGAATTAAAAGGAGTTATCAAGATTTTGAAAATGCATGTGTTTCTTTTTGAAAGTGGAAGTCAAGTTGTGATGTGACCTGTGACTTATCTATTAATTATTGAAAAGTCTAACTTTAGAAAGGAGACAAGAAAATCTTCTAAGAGAGATAAAAGATGACATTTATGGCTTTAATTGCAAAACACAGTTTGGAAAAGGTGGGGCCTACGTTTAGCAGGCGGCTTAGCAACATATCATGGAGTTAGTTTCTGTTTTACCCGGACATCTCATGTGTCACAAGACGGGAAAAAGACTTTCAAAATGTGCAATAAGCAGGCCTCTCTCTTTCTTGGGAAATTAAGAAACCTTAAAGCAGGACCAGCTGAAAAGATCTCTCAGTAAAATATTTCTGAGAATATTTCTAAATATCAGTGTCTCTAAAATCTCAAACTCTGAAACCTCAACAGTAACTTTTATTGAAAGACTTGAATATACCTGACTTTCAATCTGAATTGCAGTCTGGTCTGAAGATTTTCCATCACTATGACTGATTTGGTAGGCCATGCTCATTTCTGTATGTTAAAAGGCGTGGATTCAAGCCCCACTTCTGAGATACTTCATTAAAATTGTTGACTGTATTTTGTGGGCAAATGGGGGAACTAGAGACAGTCTGCATCAAATGGAAGACTGGGTGAGGAGCTCTTGAATCACAGCGGTGATGTTTCTACCTCTAGAAGGTCCAGGTTCAACTCCCATCTGCTCTGGAGGTGTACAATAACATGTCCAAACAGACTGATTAAAAATATCTCCATGACAATGAAGGAATGGTGGTATATTTTCAAGACAGCATGGGGAGTGCTTTGGAGGAGAACTTGCAGGTAGGGATGTTCTCATGCATCTACAGCCTGGCCTTTCAACAGAGTAGTGGTCATGCATTTGGAAGGTGCTGATAAAGGAACCTTGGTGAATTTCTGCAGTCCATCTTGTCGGAGGTAGACACTGCTACTATTGAGCATTAGTAGTTTGAGAGTGAATGTTGCCCCAATCAAGTGGGCTGCTTTGTTCTGATGGTCATAGTCAGACCTGTACAGCATGAAAACAGACCTTTCGGTCCAACTCGTCCATGCCGACCAGATATCCTAAATTAATCTAGTCCCATTTGCCAGTATTTGGCCCATATCACTCTAAACCTTTCTTATTCATATACCCATTCAGATGCTTGTACTAGCCTGCACCACTTCCATGGCAGCTCATTACATACAAACTAGTAAGGGAAGGGGGAACTCAGGGAGACAGTGAGAATAGAGATCAGTCTAAGACTGAAACAGTTAGGAAAAGGAGCAAGGCAAATGTCAAGCTTCTTGAGTGTTGTTGGAGCTTCACTCAGAGGTAAGTGGAGAGTATTCCATCACACTCCTGACCTGTGCCTTATAGATAGTGGATAGGCTTTGGCGAGTCAAGAGGGGAGTTATTTACTCAGGATTCTTAGACCCTGACCTGCTGTTGCAGAGACAGTATTTAGATGGATAGTCCAGTTCAGCTTCCCCTAAGATGTTGATAGTGGGGGATTCTGCAATGCTAATGACATTGAAATTCAAGGGGTACGAATAGATTTTCTCTTGTTGGAGATGGTCGAGCCTTAGCGCTCGTGTGGTGCAAATGCTACTTGCTACTTATGAGCTCAAACCTGAACATTGTCCAGGTCTCAGTGTTTGCATTTGGACTGCTTCAACATCTGAGGACTTGTCATCAGCAAGCACTCCCACAAATATTATTTTGTAATTGAGGCAAGGTTATTGACAAAGCAGCTAAAGATGATTGTGTATAAGACGGGAGGTTATGTTGCAGCTGTACAGGACATTGCTTAGGCCACTATTGGAATACTGCAAGCAATTCTGGTCTCCCTGGGGTGGGGGGGGGGGGGGGGGGTCCAAAACCAAAACCAGAGGCCATAGGTTTAAGGTGAGAATAGAAAGATTTAAAAAGGACCCAAGGGGCAACTTTTTCACGCAGAGGGTGGTACGATATGGAATGAGCTGCCAGATGTGATGGAGGCTGGTACAATTATAACATTTAAAAGGCATCTGGATGTGTATATGCATAGGAAGGGTTTAGAGGGATATGGGCCAAATGCTGGCAAATGGGACTAGATTAATTTAGGATATCTGGTCGGCCTGGATGAGTTTGACTGAAGGGTTTGTTTCCGTGCTGTATATCACTATGACTATGACACTGAAGAACTTCTGCAGAGATAACTTTGCGCTGATGATGTCGTCCTGGAGATGACTAACCTCCAACAATCACAACCGTCTTCCTTTGTGCTATAAACATAGAATTAACATTTTAGGTCTGATATGACTTTTTCTGAAGAGGAGTCATATCAAACTCAAAGATCAACTGCTTCTTTCTCCACAGATGCTGCCAAAGCAGCTGAGTTTCTCCAGATTTTTTCGTTTTTTTTTATTCCTTTGTGCTAGGTCCGACTTCAGCCAGTGCAGTGTTTCACCCTGTTCTAACTGACTTTAGTTTTTCAAGGGATCTTGAATGCCACACTTGGTCAAATGCAGATTTGATGTCAAGAGCAGTCACTTTCACTTCTGGAATTGAGCTCTTTTATCAATTTTTGAACCAAGGATTGAACAAGGTTAGGTGGTGAATGACCCTGGTAGAACGCAAACTGAACACCTGTGAGCAGGTTATTATTAAGCTTGATAGCACTGATGATTATCCCTTCCATCATTTTATTGATGATCCAGAGTAGAATAATGGGGCAGTAATTGGTAGGGTTGAATTTATTTTGTTCTGTCCCATGTTTGAACAAACCTGGGTAATTTTCCATATTACAGGTAGATGCCAGTGTTGTAGCTGTACTGGAACAGCTTGGCTAGATATGTGACTAGTTCTGGTCTACACATCTTCAGAACTATTGTAGGGGCTCATAGCCTTTGCCATATCCAGTGCCTCCAGACATTTCTTGATAGCAAATGGAGTGAAGCTGGGGTGTCTTCAAGAGGCCAAAATGGATCATCCACTTAGCACAGACTAAATCAGATTTGCTAACACTGTACTCACAACTCAGTGAAATTAAAACATTCAATCAACCTCAAATTTGCCTAATTGTTCCTAACCAGACTTTAAGAAGAACATATACCAGACTAAAAGTTTCTAATTTAAATAGAAATTAGTTAAATACTGTAACTTTAGCTTCTTGTTTAGCTAAATTCTACTAATCCTAATGTCTGTGATTTAAACTCAATGTTTGATCATGACTCCATACACCCACACAGAAAGATAACCAATGGATAAATTAAAAAGAAAAGTTGTAATTTGCCAGTTTGATAATTGTTCTAACCAACAAGTACCAGGTCCTTTATGAAATTCCTTAAATGATGCATTGTATTACAAGTAATTGGATGACATCTTGCGTGAATTCTGAAGTCACAGGTCAATTCAAACAACTTCCAGCAGGTTCCAAGGAATATCCATTTTCTTTCTTTTAAACGAGGATTATTTTCTCAGAGCATTTAATTCTTTGCCTGAATATAAAATTAGAGAAAGCAAAACTTAAACACAGCTTCCCAGTTCAGCAGCTTTTTTAAAAGATTCATTCACAGGATATAGATGTCACTAGGTATGCCAGCATTGTCCATCCCTAATTGCCCAGAGGGGGATTAAGAGTAAACCACACTGCTGTGGGTCTAGAGTCACATGTAGGCCAGACCAGGTAAGGATAGTAATTTTCTTCCCTAAGGGACATTAGTGAATCAAATGGGTTTTTCTGATAATTGACAATGTTTTCACGGTCATCATCAGATTCTTAATTCCAGAGTTGTATTGAATTCAAGTTCCACCATCTGCCATGGTGAAATTTGAATCTAAGTCATTAGAACATTACCTGGGTCTGTGGATTAATAATTGAGCAATAATACCACTAGGCCACCACCTCCCTTAAAAGAATGTCACCAAAGTCCTTGGGGTCACCAGGCTGCTATCTCATTAAAGAGTGGTGAAGGTAGTGGTTTAACGTGAGGGTCACCATGTTTCACGTGAGAGGAGAGGTTGAGGAGAGACCTTCAAGGTAACCTCAGCCAGTGTGGGAATCGAGCCAGCACTGTTGCTGTTACTATGCGATGCAAACCAGCTGTCCAGTGATAGTGGTCTATATAGATACCACTGCCACAGGTTCTGCATTGTCAGTATGAGGAGCTAGACACCAAATTAAGTCATCGGTAATCTCTCGCTAACAAGTATGATTGTCCATTTCAGAAATTCTATGTCACTGATTACGGGTTCTCTATGTCCTTGCATGGCTGATGAGCCTCATTCTAGAGCCACATTTCCAACCACATTTTTGGCAGGTGTTTCCAGGATATAGGTCCTTGGCCTCGAGATCACTGGCATTCCTTTCTCAGGCTCCTTTTTTGAACTTTGAGTGTTCTCAAAGAACTGTATCCCTGAAGGTTCCTCCAACTCAGTTTTCTTCTGAGTAGGGGTGTCCTAGGTATTGACATCTATGCTATATTGCTGGAGGGGAGCCTTCAGGGAGTCTTTGAAAGTTTTTTGTTGTGCTCTTGTTTTAAAGTCTTTAAAATTACCGAAATTTCCTCCTTTTGTTTAAATGTCTTCCTTGAGCTGAACTAAGATGATTTACTTTGGCAGTCAGAACCAGCATATATTAAGCACATGGCCAGTCCAGCAGAATTGGTTTTGAATGATCATAGCTTCATCACTGGTGCTATTGACCCCTGGTATTAGTATGTCTGTTCTCCCAGGTGATGCAGAGAATCTGTCTCAAACAGCATTGATGGTACTTCTCCAGGCCCTTGAGTTGGCACCTATATATAGATTCAGAGCCATACTGAAGAGTTGGACGGGCAATTGCTTTATACACAAGGAACTTGATATCGGTACAGATATTACAGCCTTGAAGACTCTCATCATTGGATGTTGCTTGCGATTTGGAAGCAGTGTTGGATTTCTGCGTTGATATCAGTCTTTAGATGAGAAATGGTACCCAGGAAGAGAAAATGTTTCCTGTGTGGGAGGATTCTTTGG